TTCCTCCAAACAGCAGACAATGCTGGGGGACATTTCACATCTCTTGGAGGTGGAAGCAGTAGAAGTGGTTCCATGGGACCAAAAGGCTTTCTTCTTTTCTTGGTTCCCAAATGGAATATACAGTTAAGAGATGTCTTAGATCACAGGTCCTCAACCTTTTTAAACAGGGGGCCAGTTCACTGCCCCTCAGACTGTTGAGGGGCTGGACTATAGGAGTTTGAAAAAAATACAAACAAATTCCTATGCACACTGCACATTAAAAATCAATTAAAATTAAATTTTAAAAAATTAAATTAAAAAATGTTTGCTCCATTCGCTTGGGCTGCAGCAGAAGCTCAAGATGAGGTGGGGAAGTGCATGTCCATATTCAAGGGACATAGCTACAATGTCTGTGATCGTGCTGGGGGCGGGGGAGACGGGCACGATTGTGCTGCGGGGGGATTGCACTCATGCAAGGAAGGCCAGCGTGATCACAGCCGTCCCCCCCCCCCCGAGCACGACCACGGCTATCCCCCCCCCCCGAGCACGACCGCAATCACACCCGTCTTCCCTGCACGAGTGCAACCGCAATCACGGCCATATCCCCACTGAGTACGCCTGCACTGGCTCAGAGCTGTTGGACTCACTCGGAGATCATTCTCTCCAGGCTAGTCCAAAAGCTCTGAAGTGGGTTGTATATATCAGCATGGTGGGCTGGATTCAGCCCATGGGCCGTAGTTTGAGGACCCATGTCTTAGATGAACAAGTTCCTGTGCTACAGATGCTTCAAGTCCATCTTGGCAACCATTCTTCAGCAGTACTTCTTCACATCTCTGGACTTGTTGGAAGCATGCCTGGATGTGCCTGTCACTGGACTTTTACATGCTTTGCATATAGGAGCAATCCAGTACAAAGCAGTGCCCTTCAGTTTAATATCACCCACAATGTCTTCACACCCTACTGATGACAATGGTGGTTCATCTCAAGTTGGTGGGCATCCATCTATACTCTTACTGAGACAACAGACAACACACACTCTGTGGACTGCTTGCAAGTCCATGACTCCATAATCAATTTTTTAAAAGCTCACTGATTCCACTGCACTACACCACACTGTCAGTTGCAGTTCACCACTTCCACAGTCAGATCGGGGCAATGGTGTGCTTGTACAAACCAACAGTGTGTCAGCCAAGACACATAGAAACAAAGAAGGGTGTACAACATCAGGAATCTTAGGACAGCAGTTTAAATCATCAACCAGGCAAGAGAGCACTTCCTTTCACTGGCCAGTACATCTGGCTAGACGAGACAACATTGCCAGTGTGTGAGCTAGCAGTTAGAGTGCTGACCTGGTGATCGGGGAGATCCAGGTTCTGGTCCCCACTCAGTGATGAAGCTCACTGGGTGATTTTGGCCTAGAGAGTCTTCTGAATGCTTTTCCCCTGAATTCCTTGGGTTTTTCAACAGGGTCTTTCTAATGGCAGCAGGGGTGATTCTGGCTGCTCTTCATTTGCCAAGAAAGCAGTGGTTTCTGCAGCTTGTGAACACGTCAGTTCAGGATTAAGGGCCACACTGCCTTTGCTAGATGCATAGTGCACAAGGTTCATGCCTAGTGATGGTACATGTTGATCCTTCCTGGGGGATTACACTGCTTTGGCTTATCCAAAGGTCTTGGAATACTTTCCAGAAGATACAGGAGAAAAGAAAGTTTCTATGAATTCCTGTTTTATCTACCTTGTGACTAGTCTACCCATTTTATTCCTTACCAGCTTCTGCTTGAACTATAAATGGAGGACCTGTTGGGTAGTTTTTCCTGCAACCTCATTTACCCCCCCCCCCATTTTTAAATATTTTATTGTATTAGTTTGATTAGGTTGATGCCTTCTATGGAATACTTAGTTCTAGCTTTCATGGCTCCTTTTGAAGATGGAATTGGTGGAGTTCCTGGGATTTCCTGCCTGTTCTGAGAAGGTTAGTTCCTCCCACTTGAATACTTTTTGATTTGACCCTGCCTGCCATCTAGTATAAGGCGGTAACCCAAAGATCTTCAAATACCCTTCAGAAGATAGATAAAATAGGAATGTTGGGTAAAAAACTTCCTGTTTTTCAGACTAATAAGCTGCTGTTGCTTTAACAGTTTGTTGTCACATTAAATTTATTTCTCGAAGTATTTTTTACAAACGTTCCATGATTAAATTTTGTGGTAGAAGCTGTCTTGCACATGCACTATGGAAAGGTAGGGTGAAAAACACTTTAAACAAATAAGACTGCCTGAAGAATGCAGCACCCTAAGGATATAATTCTCTGCACAGCTAAAAGGCAGCTAACAAAGGGGGTGGGGGAAAGGTGTAATTTTAAAGGAGTTATATTTTATGTGTAACATACAGGCAACTAAAGCAGTAGAGCTATTCCAAAGATGCATGGCTTTGTACACCTCTTGAATCACAATTTGGGGGCTCCTTATCATCAGCCTTTTCCATATTTAGTCCTTCACCTGACTACCTCCAGTCTTGCAGAAATCTCTAGCTCTCTAAGCAGGCAAGAACAAGAATTACTGAACTGAAGACAAAGTTAACAAGTCAGAATTCTCAGCAGTGCCTAATTGGTTCACTCCATTCTTCTTTGCAGGCAAGCCCAGGCAAATGTCCCCTTACTGCCATGCTAACTGGAGAAAATTTGGGGTATGATATACCCCTTGGAGATCATCAAAATCATCTTTTATTTAGTTATATCATAGTTTGTATCATTCTTAGTGTTACAGTCCTATTATCATTGATTCAACCATTTCAGGTGAATCAAGCCCACTTCTTTTTTCTAAAGTTCACATCATTTTTAAGAAGCCATAAGGAAAACCTCCATCTAAAACTCAATGAGGTATTTTAGATATTGTAGGTTCCTCTATTGTTGTTTCAAGAAATCACAACCACCAGTTAATCTTCCTACATGTAGGCAGGGAGTACAGATGCTCTGATACCAGTATCTGAGATCTCAGCGCTGAAGAGGTATTTTAGGTAATGACTCTAATGTGAAAAAATGGAATTTTATTAAGGATTGCTTATAGTACATCTATACCACAGAGAGACTTTGTTTGTAATGATAAAGGCTATAGCCAATGGGGACAGTTCGCAGATCATAATATGCTGCACTGGATATAAGCCACATTAGACTAGTTGTTCAGTTGCTAACCCATGTTACTCCTGACAGACAATCAGGTACTTTGCTGCTTGTAGTAACTTGTTTTGCCTGGCAAACATGTCCCATGGGCTTTTGCAGTACAATCTCAGCAATGTATTCCACCACTCGTGTGGCTGTTATGTCAACATGAAGCAACTATTGCGTAACAGATGTTATTTCTTTGCCCTTATTTGTGTATAATTTCCATTGAACACAGTGAGATGTTTTCTTCAATAAAACACCCCAGACGGGATTGTTTTCACTGCAGCTAGGATCGTATGGGATACACAGTTTTATCTTTTTTCCCATCACTTTAACTGGAGCCAAACTGACCCCAACAGCATCTCAGTGTAATTCTGACATTTAAAAATAAACATGGCTTCTTCATTCAAGCAAATACATGAGAATATGAAATATCACAAGTTAAGGAGAGAGGGAAGTAGCATATATTTTGGTCTCCTTTCATTGCCTTCCATGTTGGAAGACTTTTAAAAAGTGATTAACAGAAAGCTTGAAAGGTTAGCATTTAATAAACATTCCTTGCATAATAATATGAGCTGCTTATTACTTTTAAGTGAAACAAATTCAGGATACAACTAAGTGGTCCAGTTAAAAAAATACTATTCGTGAATCAGGTGATCAAGTACAAAGATAGCACTGCTACTGAGCAAGCAGAAAACTGAGTTAAAGTTTTAAGACTACAGATGATTGTAAATAGTGTGTTCTTTTATAAAAGAGTTGGTTTGTATGATTTTTGAATTCTTAATGAGACATTAAGGCTTTTAACACTTTTCTAGAAAATAGTAGAGAATAATTAAAGGAACACATAAACCAAATCTGATTCTCCATAAACTGGAGATATTATGAATCTTGTCCATGGTAGTGGACTATTCCCATGAAACTTTCCCTCAGGCCCATCCATCCAAGGCTCCTCCTAACTGCTCCGCCCCAACTTTGCCCATACTGTCCTCATGTATCTGGCATAATTGCTAAATGAAACTACCATATTCAGAAGCACTTTATCTCTTAATTCCAGATGTTGGTATAAGCAACATGAGAGGGATGCTTGCTTGTCAAGTCTTCCAGAAGCATTTGTCTGGCCACTTTAGAAGCAACCTGCTGAATTAGATAGAGACAAGTGTCTTGCCCAGAACCAGACTGCAAGACAGAGGCTGGGCCTGTATCCCATAACACCACATTTCTCCCTTTACTTTACTTTTGATGTTGCAACAAGTTTCACAGAAGAAAACTAGGATGAAACAAGAGATTTGCTCAAGACTACAAAGTGAGTAGAAGGAAGAACTGCCATTTCAATACCCTTAGAACAAAACATGGAAACATCTGAACTCCAAAACATTAACTTTCCTTTCAGGTCTCCCACAAGCATCTCCGATTCACTTCTCATCACTTTCAGATTTCATTTCTCAATTATTGAGCTTTCACTGCTCCCACACCACCCAAGGAAATCAAAATCCTTATTCTTCTCCTGCAAACCAGTTCTGTCCCCTTCAGTCTTGAACCCGCAAAGCTGATGATCTCTATTGTATTAACGGTTTAATCCCTGGCTCAGCCAGCTTTCCCTTCTTCCTTTTTCAACCCAAACACCAAAGCTTAAGGAGATGAGAGAACAAAGGTGCACAATTCAACATGAGTAATTACTGTTCAAGGAGCAACCACTTGCCAGGCTATCTTCTCCACTGCTCTTCCAGCACAGCACACCACAGTGCAGTCACCCACACTGGGCTCAGTAAGACTTTGCAAACCCTTTTGGTATACCTAGCTGTCCTGGCTTGGTGCTTTAAAAATAAATGTTTTGTACACAATAATCCTGAGCATGCACAATCATGTAAAGTCAGTTGTATTTATTCAGATTACTTGTACATGTTGATTTTTGCCTGCTTTCAACATGGCAGGTATTAACATGCTGTGCTCGCTGAATAAGGAGCCATTGATGTTTACAATGGATGCAAGTACACTTACTTCCAAACGAAACCTCAGTCTTTGTTGCTCTGCTTCATCTTACAGAAAGGGCATGTGTGTAAAAACTAGATCTACAGCTAGGTGTAAATGTCTCCATTTGTATTCTCAAACAGAAGCTGAAAACATTAATGGTGCTGAAGTGCACATTTGCCAAGAAATGAATCTGTTCTGGCATACCCAGCCATAGGAATCAGGCACTTATGCAGCACCCTGGTACAGGGTTTAAAAAGCTGATTGTTCTGATTAATTCTGCAATTTAAGCAACGCACTTCAAATGTCTGTGGGTTTTAAAATTCTTTTAAAATTCCAGCAAGCTGGGTGCCACACACATACCTACTTCCATGCGCCAGATGTTCCTAAACTGTGTATTTTAAGATGCAGTCACTTATATTCCTGAATTCTTGCTGAAGATTAAGGAAGATAAGAACTAAATTTTATTTCAAACTACAGTCTGTGCCGGCAACATGGGCTGACAAGCCACCCAGGTCTGTAATGTTCAAGGGATTCTGGTGTGAATTCTCAATGCCCATGCTCTGTATCTCTCCATTCCCAATAGCAGGGATCACCTTTCTCCTCTCCACAATTAAACTTCCTAGGTAAATGTTCACAAATATTTGGCACCAGAAAGCTAATTGCCCTACCTTGTTCTTCTAGTATTCTGTAAAGCACTGGGATTTAACTAGAGAGCCACGTTGGCTATGACTATTTGTTTCCCAATCCATACTGAAAAATAATCTAACACCACACAAAAATGACCAACTAAGTCAAACAGTATCAAGCCCATCCGTCTGTGTAAGTCACAGACAAAGCAAACTGATGGCGATAACAAACTGCTGCCAAATATTTCAGTTATGAGATAAGATACAGAAAGGGTTTGAATGAGGAATGTCAAAACCAGTCCAAATATACTTTAGCACTGAGGAGAGCTGACATCACACCCATCAGAACAAATACAGACATCTTGCAAATGAAACAGCCCCACAGCTATTTTTTTACATCTCCTGCTTTCATGAGGGCCTTAATAGCCCTTGCTCGCATCTCAAGCTCCAGGAGCTCCAGCTGCTGTGCTGAAGGCTGAACATCATCTGGTGGAGGAACTGCTACAGTTGTTGCCTTAGACTCTTTTGGGGAGGATTCAGCAAGCCCCAAGATCTCATTTACACTTTTTTCAATGTCCTTCTGAAGGTCATCTATCTGACCATCTCCACTCTTGGCAGTCTTTTCCAGCACACCTGGATTATCTTCTTCATTGCATGGACCTTCAATGTCACTGTCATATGCATCGGCATTGATGCTTAGAACATCACTATCTTCTCCTTTGCCTGTAATGCAAAATTAGCAGAAGGAAAATATTCAGAAACCTCACAAAAAGAATTGCTTTCCAGCTTGCAAAGTATTACCTCTACACACAAACATTCCCTTGCACAGATTTAAAGTATAGAAAAGGTCATCTATAAATTAAAAACAACAGTTTCTCTCTTTTCTGCCCTCCCCCAACCTTAAGACCGATTTAATTTAGACAAGTTTTAATGCATTTTTATTCCAATTTAGAAGAACATGCAGTAGACCAAAGCAGCAGCGCTTGGAAAATTTATTCCATCGTATGGAATTGCATGATCTATTTTCCTAATTAAAATGTCATAAGGTTTTATATCACAAGGACGCGTCTGCATTACAAAATGAAAGTTGATGTGGGAAGCCTTTGGGACTGACTACTGTTTATTATTTTAGAAGTAAATTTAATTCCTAAAGTGCAGTTTAAAAATACTGTTACAATTACTTTATACATGGAAAAAAATAATATGAGGGTACAGTTATCAGTGTACCACTGCACTTGTTAGAGCTGTCTGCATAACATCTTCTAATGGAGGATTTCAGTTTAAGTTATCTCAGGAACAATTAGGGCATTCTTATTTGTTTAATTATGATTAAAAATGTGGGCTAGAATCCAAAAAGCTATGCTCAGCATTCACCCCCAAGGCTTGGACATTTTAAAAAAGATTTAGTTTAAATGCCACAGTCCCAATTTCACAGCACAATGCTTCCGAAACTTCCATCAGGTTCAAGAGAACTGACAGCACAGTGAACTGGTCCCAGACTTCTTAAGGTGCACAGAAGTAACTGTGTTCAGATTGCACAACAAGCCATGGTAGATTTTTACAACTGCTGGTCTGTCATATTGTTAGATAGTAATCTAACACAATCTTCAGTTGGAACTAGCTTGCCATGCTCCCTTAAATCCATGCTTTTTTTCCTGCCAGTATGAGAGAGCTCCCTGTAATAGACCTTCTGAAAACAGACAAAGTATCTGTTGCTGTATTCAATTAGCTAGGGATAGGTTTATGTGTTTACAAGCTAGATGATAATAATGCACATATTTGACTGTAATTTTATAGTCTATCTGTTCTTGTTAATAAATGCACTTTTAAAAGGTATCTTATGTGGGTTCAGATTGTATCTCACCCATTTTGTTATCTTGAGCTTCTTGGGTATATGTCAGTCCTTTAGATTGCAATCCTATGTATGTATAGACAGAAAAAGGGGGTTTTCTAACTCTCACATAGCCCACATTTTATGAGTTCAGATAAATAAAACAAGCTACAGTTGCAGGACAAATATTCAGAATGGTGCCCATGGCTTGGCATGACTTAAATATGGTAAGATGTACCATGGTGATTGTGTGAACCCCGTTGTCAATGTGCATACACATTTGCATGAACCAGCCCTCATTTAATGTATTTAGGACTGAAGCATAACATTTTGTTTTTACAACTCTCTACCTACAATTATAGTCTAGACAAATTCAAAATTCATTACCTATATTAAAAAGCTGGATACAAGCTTGCTTACCCATTGGTACATCTTAAAGGACATATGGTCTATTACGCTGAAGATCAATATGTTGCTCTTTGGGAGATACTTTATGTACAATAGTTTTAAAGGGACAATGAGAAATCTTTGCCAAGAATTTATACACAGCCTTGCAATAGAAAAGAGATAAAATACACAGTGGCTTCTTTGCCCAATTTACTGCAGTAGGTCACAGCTTTATATTATTCCACAGAATGCAGTAACGAATTTGCTGATATGGTCTTAATTCACAGATTTACAGAATGTTAACATACACATTTATTTTTTACCCACTGGAATCATTCTGACTACAATATGAATGTCACAAGTAGCTACCACGTTCAACAACTCCACCAGGTGCCAAGCTGGCACTGGATGACTAGCCATTGCCTCCTGTTTGGTGGAGTCCACAGCATTCAGTCATCTGATGGATCTCACAGATCAGGAGACAGCACTATGAAATGTAATGCAGGGTGTGATTGGGCCTCCGTGCCAAAAACAAGGACCAGTCCATACAGTGGTAGAAAAATCAAGGTGAGAAGAGTATGAAAGCAGTTTCAGTGACTTGTCTTGAGAGCAAAAGCTACATATTTTGTTCCCAAACATTACCTCATCATGAGGATCATTCTGGCTGTGTGAAGAAGGATGTTGCACCTCAGCATGTCATCATCTGGAACTTTACTGACAATGCCTATCAAAACTACTTCCACCACACTGTCAAGGGCAAATGTTGGCAGCTGTAGTATAAACAGGCACAGACAGGGATCCCAGGGGTGTACCCTCCATACCAGGCAGTGAGGACAAGATGTGACTCCATATGCAGGATGCTGGAGGCATGCAGCACAGCGAGACAGAACAGTGATGCATGAGTTGGCCAGACTGGAGAGCTCTGGTGTGCAAGGGCCACTGTCAAAGCAACAGTGAGACGACACATCCCAGTTGGTGATGGTCCTTAAGTCCTTTTTAGATGTACCAAGAAAGGGCACACATGTTGGCCACCGTGTGTGATCCTAAGTTAGAAAGAAATGTTGCTAGCCACAACACCAATCCAAGGTAGCATACTTTGTTGGAGGAGAAAATAGATAAGACACAAGAGAAGAGGCTAGTGCTACCCACACCTTGAAAAACAAAGCATCGACCAATGTACGGAGATGATTATTTTTTAAAAATAGGTATTTTAAGGAGCAGAATGTGAAAGACAGAAAGAAGAACCAAACTGGAACTGGATTCTAAATAATCACTTTTCCTGACAGGAATTGCACATAGAACTGAATCGCCTCCCCCCACCTCCACATAACTGCAGGAAAAAGCAGTAACTGGGAGATACAGAGGGAATAAGACATGCACATGTGCACACAACCATCAGAACAAAACACAAGGAATTTTGATGATAAATATAATTTACAATATATATTAGATAGTACAAATGTACTAAATGAAACAAGAAACAAAAGAAAAGTAGAACAAAAAGGGATTAGGAATCAAGATTTTATGTTTCCAAATTCATAATGGGAAAAGAAGCCTTTTGGATTAAACTGCTTTCCTAACAAACACAAAACACTGGGATTTGCAGAAGAAAAGCAAATGAATAAATAACATATTATAAATTATAATTATTAAATGCTCATACAATGCAAAATGTACTGAATGAAACTAGAAACAAAAGGAAAATAGAAGCAAGGAATCTAAGAATTTATTTTCAAAATTAATTCAATAAAGGGGAAGAACTAAGACACTGTCAGCTTCCTAGAAAGAAAGCAAAGGAAAACAAAAGATACAGACAAAGAAAATGAGAATAACCCCACACATTGCAGAGTAACAAGAACTAAATTCAAATTATTTAAAGAACAACCCTAGGGAAGTTTAGACAGAAAAAAACCCTACAACTCTTAGTATACCCAGCCAGCTATGCTATACTGGCTGAGATAAGCATGGAGTTGTAGGCCCTTTTAATGTCTAAATTTGCATAAGACTGTACCCGTTTTTTTCCTAACTAGGGAAGAGGAACATGGATGCACTATCTAAGCCTACATAAAGGCACAAACAGCGCTGGTTTGCACAATCCCCATGACTTAAACAACAGATGAACTAAGTGAGGTATTTGATGGCTGTTTTCTCGTAAGCTGTTTTGCTTGAGTTTTGACAATATCACAAGCCACACCCACACTCCTAGTTAGGCAAATAGTGTCTGACATGTGCCATAGCTTAAACAGAGCACCATGGCTCATTTAAGCCATGATGACTGTGTGAACTGGATCACAGACTACAACACAGAATGACTGATAAATCTCAAAAATGGAGGGGGGGGGGAGACAAGAATTCTGAGAGTAGGGATGAGTTCAAGAAGAAACTGGATTTAAAACAGATATAAACAAAACTTGAGCAAATCCCCAGAAATAAAAAAGAAACTGTCATTTTACTTCCTACTTCTAATTTCCTACAATGTACAACTGAGAGAACCTAGACAGCAAGGCTGTTTACTGAAACACTCAATAGAACTCAACACACATTGATTGGAGCCCCTGGTAAAACATGTCCTTGGATTATAAGGTAGACTTATCAGTCACTCAACTGCACATCCTTTTTCCATCATTCCACTGCTCATAATTAGCATTACTGAAATGAAACCAAAATAGTCTGTTTGTGGGAACATAAAGTCTGCATGTCGCTGAAACATAAGTTGGTAACAAAGTCTCATTTGGCTCCAGCTTTGTTTCTGGTGGCTTTGGGAAGAACCAGACCAAAGTGGCCCAGTTCTACTCCGTCTTAATCCAAATCAGACACACATTCCTAATTGAAACCTTTAGAGTTGTAAATTGATGCATGGATAAAAATACAGATCATTTTTCAGCTTGTGCTGGAGAAGAAGCCTACAGTAACACTGCACTCATTTCCAAGCTCCTACATTCCATTTATGATAATAAAATGATAGCAGTAGACCAGAACACCCAGAAATAATTACATACTTTATCAATACTTTACTGTTATTTTCTTTCTTAGGGATTTTGTTTTCAATTAGCCTTTTCCCATTTGGACCAAAATATTTTCCTTGACTGGACTACTTTTACAGAATTAGCAGTTTCTTTCCTCTAGCTTCAGCTTTCAAATCTCCAAGGCTGGAAGCATTATTGATCTGCTACTTTTGCTCATCAGCACCACAGTCACTGATATACTGGAAACCAATATAAAAGTTCCTCTGAATTGCACTTCCTGAGCACCAAATAATTTCAGTCCTAGTAAAGCTTTGATTATAAAGGGGATGCTTGTTAACATGGGCTCAGACAGCAGTAAATGTTAGGATTTGGTATCCTCAAAATAAGGCAAGGGAAGCAGTGGGCCATGGACTGGATCCAGAGCTTGAAACATATATAGCTCTTAAGACCATTTACCAAATTTTAATCAAGGGGTAATTTTTAAAAAATCACTTGTAAGGGAACAATTGCTCTCCCTGTGTATTTTTCATATCCTTTCA